CAGAACAACGGTACGGTCCGGTTAGGATGGTGCCACTGGCACAACACGATCCGCTGATTGGCTGACAGAAAAAACATCACTAGTGCATCATATTTGTCGTCTTCCTATTATGACACAAAATTAGGCCTTGGGTTTGACCCGCCTGCCCAGTTAGAGTCGAATCGTGTCCTGAACACGCTGGACTATAAAACGGCATCTTGAAAACGAGGAATTCAGCTCTGCAGGCGACACTCCTTCAGTTAAGATGGTTCCAACACCTGAACCATTGATGATCCAAACGACCCACAGGTACCAAAACGTCTCAACGATTCCCTCGAAGGTTTCCTTTGCTCCTTCAGGACGTGGATGACAGTTTGATTCAGATGCAGAACGGTTATCTCCACCGTCTCTAAAGGTGAAGTGGATCAAACATCTGGTGAGCTGAAGACTCCAACATGCATCAAATCCAGATTCAGGCCACAAGCCGAAACGTGTTGGTGAGTCTTTGTGTCGCTGGAGTTTTCAACTGATGGAACCAGAAACCATCATTTCATGGCTGAAAATTCAAACTGGTCACAGCAGGAAGCCGACCCGGAGCTGTCCGGTCGGTCCAGCTCTGAATGCTGCAACCTGGACATTCAGCAAAGCAGCAGGGGTCAGAGGTCCTGCACAGACGTTACAGACTCAGTTACTACACATGGTTAGGGTCAGGGGTCATTTTCGTTTCATGGATTGTGTTGACTCGATGTCCTTTCACAGAAAGGTGGAATGCCACCTTTTGTTTTTCAGACATCTCTGAAAACCTGAAGCAGTGCTGGAAAACATGGTCGACATGACAGACTGATGTCTTCTGGAAGCAGCACGACCATAAATTAGCACGCTGTTAGGGATTTGCTTAACTTTGTGGTTGAAATTACAGCACAAATCTGTGAAGCACGTATTGCAGCCAGGGATAATGTAACAACTATATCTGTCAAAACTGGAGGGCCGGGCAGCTGGCACTAATCGGAGGAAGAGAGTTATGAGTGCGAGTTGGCGTGGTGTGCCGCTCGCCGCTCTGCAGCCTCCCCTCTCTGCACCGTGCCCGCTCTGCACCGTACCCGCTCTGCAGCCTGCCCGCTCTGCACCGTGCCCGCTCTGCACCGTGCCCGCTCTGCACCGTGCCCGCTCTGCACCGTGCCCGCTCTGCACCGTACCCGCTCTGCAGCCTGCCCGCTCTGCACCGTGCCCGCTCTGCACCGTGCCCGCTCTGCACCGTGCCCGCTCTGCACCGTACCCGCTCTGCAGCCTGCCCGCTCTGCAGCCTGCCCGCTCTGCACCGTGCCCGCTCTGCACCGTACCCGCTCTGCAGCCTGCCCGCTCTGCACCGTACCCGCTCTGCACCGTGCCCTCTGCACCGTACCCGCTCTGCACCGTGCCCGCTCTGCACCGTGCCCGCTCTGCACCGTGCCCGCTCTTCAGCCTGCCGCTCTGCAGCCTGCCCGCTCTGCACCGTGCCCGCTCTGCACCGTGCCCGCTCTGCACCGTGCCAGCTCTCATTCCTGAGGTGCCATAACGAGTTCTGGGCCGATCAAGATACTCTGACCTCCAGAGCCACATGGCTCTCTGAGATTTGCTTTGTTAATCTGGGAAAATGCAAAACAGGCAGGAAATGACCAAGAAAACCTTGATGATCCTAAAGAGGAAAAACACATTTCCTTTCATTAGGGCCTGTGGCCTGAATGGACCGTGTTCAGGAGCGATGGACCGGACAGTGGCAACCAGTGGATCCTCTGGTAGACGATCGGTGGCCAGAAGGGCTGCAGCTTTGGTGGTTGCAGAACCAAAACTTCTGGTGAGAGGAATCCAGGACTTTGATTGACCTGAAGGAAGTTCTGCAAAACGAAGGACAGAGCAGTTTACAGCTGCTCTGTGAGGACCGGCTGGGAGCGTGTTGTCCTTCAGAGGACGCTCAGAGCGAGAGGACGGTCAATCCGTTGACCTGGAGGCGGTTGCTGAGGTAAAACTAGATGTTATGAGGTTGGGGAGGCTGATGTGTCTCTTCAGGTCATGTGGAGGATTGGGGCAACGAACAAGCTAAATATTTAGTTGGGTCAGTGTTCGCTAAATGTTGAAGCAAAAATAATTGGGTTGTGAAACAAAGCTGGACTGTGTGACCCTGCAAAAGCAGAAAGGACTAAACGGGATCTGAGGAAGCCATCTTGTCTTCATCAGCCCTTCATACTTTCAAAGTTCATCTTTCGATAATCCAGACGTTGTTTGTTAGTGTCTGAATTTCTATTTCTGGTACCCAAAGTATCGTCTTTATATCATCACCAAATTCAAGCGAATGTTCCATGATCATCGTACATCATCACGGTACGATGATGTTAATCTATCAGGGAACTTAAGAAAACAATCCCTGCTCCATAGTTTAAATTTCTATTAACTTTACACAACAGGAATCCGGTCCAATAACGGGGTCTCCAGCTGCCTTGGAATCCTCCCTCACCCCCCAACATCCTTCTTCCCGCTCTCTCATTCAGACTTCCTCACCTGTCAGAGGTGGAATGTTGCTGGCGGAGACGATCCTCCAGGGTCCAACTCATGACAGATGTAATGACGCTCAGTGAAAATGTTTACCAGCAGCTGCTGTCTGTCTGCTGCAGACAACAAGCTGCTGCAGCTCAGGATCAACCAGAAGCTTCACCCGGCTGGCGATTCACCGACAGCCGGGTGAAGCTGAAGATTAGGGTGATGGCAAAGAGGATTCACAACCTCGCCCTCTGACGGATCAGAAGACGTCAACATGTCCAGTTTAAAGCCCAATGTTTTCTGCTTCTTATGATAAAACATATTTGGAGTCAGTTAACAACAGGATGATGATTCTGCATAATGTCCTCAGAGCAAAGTCATCAAAAGTCACAGAATGGAGGCATGAAGAGCAAAACCTGGTTATTGAGACACTTTGATCAGACATTCAACAATATTCAGAAATATTTCATTAGCACCATAAATATTTAGTTTGCAAATAAAATATTTAGCTAGCTCAGATATGCTAATTCACATGGCGATGGCCGGAAGTGGACTATCAAAATAAAAGCTGGGAAATGTCTCATCTCTTGTTTAAGCTGAACTGGTTGCAAATGAAGAAAGGAAGAAACCATGACGACATGAACAACTGGACCAGCAGAGGTTAGCAAGGCAAGCTTTTATTTTGGCGGTCTGTGAATTAGCATATTTGCTAAATGTTTAGCTTGAATCTGAACTTGGTAAAAATGTTTTCTTAAACGGGTTTAATAATCCAAAAGGTTCCAGTCTGAACAGTAAAAACTTGATTATTGTTAAACGTCATCAGATCAACTGTATGAATATTATTATTTCTGCAGACAAATTAAAACAATAAATGTTGAAAATGGAGAATCTTTGTTCCCATCAGAATTCCTCTGCATTTCAATACAGTGGAGCTCCAGACTTTGACTAGGCCATCGACTCTTTCCGGGTTCTGCTGTAGATTAGCTGCTGCTGTGTTTGGATCCTGGTTCTGTTGATGACCCGGTTTGGACCCACATTAGATAAAACTCAATAGTCAAGTTTCGTCCAGAGTTTATTTTACTAATTCCTAAAACATGATGAGAAAATAAACATGTTAACCTGCAGAAACATTAACCTGCTGCAGCTGAGCCCATTGTGCTGCTGTTTGGTGTTGTGTTTTGCTGCAACAACAGCAACAACCCAGCAGCAGCTGCAGCAACAACCCAGCAGCAGCTGCAGCAACAACCCAGCAGCAGCTGCAGCAACAACCCAGCAGCAGCTGCAGCAACAACCCAGCAGCTGCAGCAGCATCATCTGTCGGGCTGCAGCCTCTGTGACAGGTTTCTACCTGAAGTGTCTCTCCGGGTCAGAGCTCCTCTCGCCCCCTGCTGGGCTGAACCAGGCTGGGGGTTCGGTCCGGTCCGGTTCAGGTCACATCCTGTCATCAGCCTGCAGCCAAGTCAGTGAAACGGGACTAACTGGTACCAACTGGACCAACTGGTACCAACGGGACTAACTGGTACCAATGGGACCAACTGGACCGGACTTGCCAGTTTAAGAAATTCCACTTTAGCTCCTCAAAGTGAAGTGAATCTTGTCGAAGCGTCTTCTGCTAATCAGAAGTTTTAAAGGATATTTTCTGGTTTTGCTTTTGTTTTTCCTGCCTCATTTTTACTGATCAATAAAACGGCAGGTTTATGGTTCCCGCTTTACAGTATCTTGGTGGTTTTTAGTCATTTGATTTATTTTTAAACGTAAAAATCTAAATTTATCAGCTTTAAGGAGAAATGAGGAAAAAAAGATTTCCTGTTTTTGAATGTAAAAGTGAGATGAATTATTAAAACGTAGAACTAAAGTTAGTTTGTGGGACAAATTTACATGAAAGGATAATATGTCAAATCAGCTGATTTATATTAAATCTGTTTGTATCTGAATTCATGCACAGCTTGTCAAAGATTGTGACGTATTCATCTGCTTATTGGGTCACACAGAACAGCTTTCCATCGCTCCAAACAAACTTCATGATATTTTATTCAGATTTTATGACAGATCAATACAAAGTGTTGCAGTTTGAGGAAAATAAGAAATGAGTTTATTGTGTAAAAATAAAACTAAAATGTGAAAAACTGTTCAGAGCTGGTGGAGTTAAAACTTAGAGGAAGTTAGTTCTGAGCCTGAATATAAATGCACTCCACACTTCTCAGATTTTGATTGTTTTAAAAAAAAAGATGTATTATTGTAAAATACACAGAATCAGTTTTAACATGACTAAAGGAGATGTAAATACTTTTGCACAGTTATTTTGATTCATATATCTGAACAAACATCAGTGATTTCCCTCATTAATGTTTCCAACATAGTTTTATTCAAAACACATTTAAAATCATATTTTGATTATTTTTGGATTTATTAGTATTTTACTGCAAATTTAAAGAAAATTATGAAACGATCTTGGTGCAAAAAAGTGAAAGAAACCATAGAAGAAGAACCAGAAGTCAACAAACAAGCTACAGACTTATTTATTGAAACAAGTACATATAGAGAGTTTCTGTATAACATGTTTTATTTGCTACATTGTGGTTTTTATACACTCACCATCAGCGGAAACAAATGCACACAATACAAATTATCAAACATATCAAAATCAGTTTTTACAACCCTTTTTGTAGCCACCAACTGGTCCTATTGGTGTGCCATAGTGCAAACTGGGTCAGTCACATCTCGGGTTCTGAGCCTTCAGTTCAGGGCCGACGCTACAATCAGAACCGCTCAGCTGGGTTTACCCAGAACCGGTTCTGCTCCAGTCAAACCGCCATGCTGGGGAGAGTAGCTGATATTAACTGCTGTCAGAATGCTGTGGGTTTCATTTCCTGGATGTTTCTCTGTTAGCGGCTCGTTGGGTGAAATGTGACTCCAACGGGTCTCAAACGTCAGAGACCCTTAAACTGGTTCACAAACGAAGCAACGAGTAGAAACGAGTGTGTGAGTCTTAAAGCCAAAAACCATCAGCAATAATCTGAGAAAAACATCAGCTTCATTTTTCAAACTCACATTTTCACCATGTTATTCATTCTTATGTAAATCCCAAAGTTTCTAATTAAATATTTAGTCAGCAAGCTAAATAGCTAGCTTGGTAGCTAGCTGCTCAGCTAGCCAAAATGTATGCAGCTCAAATCTAACTAAATGTTAAGCTAGCTCAGAGCTAGCTATGTAGTTCGGAGCTGAATAGTTATCTGCTCACTGATGACTTAAGTTTATCTTGTGAACTAAATAGCTCCATTCAAACTAAATGCTTCGTTTGAAACTGACATTCATGAGAAGAGAAGCAGGGAGTGAACAATTAAACTCCATGTTTTTCTCTATCAGGATAATTAACTCAAATTATTGCTGTTAATAATTGACTAACTTTAGTCTTCAGACAGAAAAGAGATGCAGGAACTTTGTGGGGATGAATGTCTTTGGTTTAACTTGGATCATTTCTGTCTACATTCACTTCACGGTCCGTCAGGCGTTGCTCTGTTCTCGCGCCCGTCCGGCTTTGAGTCGGACGGCCAAAGTTCACTGGAAGAAAGAAAGCTACAGTATGCTGGTGGTGAAAGCGCCGCCCTGCTGGTGGCCTCAGGTGGCTGCAGGAAGGCGTCGGATCCGTCTGGAGCCTGAAGCGTTGAGGCGGCGGCCCGGACTCAGGAGCAGCCGCAGCGGTCCACCACCATGGACGGGATTCCCGTAGATGATCTGCTCCTGGCGGTTGAAGTAGAGCATGTTGATGGGGGACATCTTGGTGGGGGTGCAGCAGAGGCCCGCGGACCCCCGGGGGTTGGCCTTGTTCACCAGGTGGGTGTGTGGGTACTTCTGCAGGTGCATGTACTCGCACTCCCCGGAGCAGTAGTTGGCCTTGTAGCGCTTCGGGGCGATGATCCAGTCCCAGCCGAAGTCCTCGAAGTCCACGGTGAGCGGGTAGCGGCAGCAGAGCGTCTCCGGGGAGTTCTCATCACAGTCCAGACCCGAGTCTCTCCGGGCCCGCCGGGGGCCCTCAGACACCTTCACCTCCATGAACGGTTGCTGAAACGACAGATCGGACGGATTGGGACAGCTACAAACACACAGCTTTTATTTTGATAGTCAAATCCATAATAACATTTGCATGTTGGCTACATATTAGAGCAATATTTATCTCTGAGCTCCTAAATATTTAATTTCTAAAGTAAACACTGAGCTAGCTCAGAGCTAACTAATATCTAGTCTATTTTATTGATTAGTTTGGATCTAAACTAATTACATGACCAGTTTGAACAGTGACATTTAAAAAGCAAACCTCCATGTTTCCTCTGATGACCTGCTAACTAACTCAAATGACCCGGGGTCATTCTTGACCCGATGGAGCCGAGTCAGCGTTCAGCCTCTCATCTCCTGGCAGCGAGTCTTCAATCGTCACGGAAACATGATGAACCGTGACTTTCAGAGAAATTAAATCATCAGACGGTTGGATAAACGCAGCGCTGCAGCACCGGACGCAGCGCTGCAGCGCCGGACGCAGCGCTGCAGCGCCGGACGCAGCGCTGCAGCGCCGGACGCATGCAGCGGCTTGTCATCGATCGCCCAGGGCGTGTGTGTGTCTGTCTGTGTGTGTCTGTCTGTGTGTGTCTGTGTGTGTGTGTCTGTGTGTGTGTGTCTGTCTGTGTGTGTCTGTGTGTGTGTGTGTGTCTGTGTGTGTGTGTGCAGGCAATTACTCTGATTTGCAGAGTCACACAGAAAGCTGTGAGGAATGTGGAGCGGCGCGATGTGATTGGCCGAGGAGTCCGGCCTGATTACTTCCTGTTTGAGCTCCTGCTGCGGCTGAACGGCTGCAGAACCTTCAGCACCAGAGCAGAGAGTCAGACTCCATAACTGATCAACTGCAGTACAGAGGAGCTGATCAAATGATCAATCACTCAACCTTTACAAACTGCATCATCAGACGGATCAAAATATGAAGTTAAGAAGAAGAAACTATCAAAAAATAACAAAATCAGGCAAAATAAACTTTTTCAAATCTTTCAGTAAAAAACTTGAACAGGTGAGTTTTTCTCCAGTAAGAGTAAAAAGTACAACCTAGTAAAAATACTCCTAGAAGTTTCTTCCCAAAAGGTAAATGTAACAAGTTACTAACCAACTTTAATCAACAATAAAATCGTTTTGTTTCTTCAATCGAGGGGAAAATAAACGAACTTGGACATTTTGAATGAGATTTTGCTTTGTCACTTGTTGCTAAGGAGATTTCTCTGCTTCTGGGTCGGCGAGCCCGCAGCATCACTCTGCTGTCCAGGAACCGGTTCTGGTCAGGGCTCAACCTAGCAGCAGCTTCAAGATGACCTCTGACCCCAAACACCTGCAGCTCAACGCTTCACGCAAAAAATCTAAAGCAGAAAAACGGGAGCGGTTGATTTTCTACCGTCAGAGATGAGAAGAGAAAACGCAGAAATTCAGACGAAGTTATAAAATGATCAGAACCGGCGGTTCTGGGTTCTGCTGAGCCGCAGCATGACGGAAACAGAACCAACGAAACTCAGGTTTTTCCTCAGAAATTTAACTTGTGTTTTTTACAGAACGAAGTTTGCCCCTCCCCTACATATTTCTGATGATTCATCACTAATGATTTTAAACCTCCATGAGATTCTCTTGATGAAATGATGACAGAACCCGACTGTCCACATGAAGAACAGATCCGCCTCCGAGGTTCTGATTGGACCAGAACAACATCAGAAGCTCTGCAGGCCTCCCTGCCTCAGTAAAGGTCAGAGGTCATAGTTCAATGGTAGTTCTGGCCTCCAAGACCAGAACTACGATCCAACTCTATCCACCAAGTTCAAGCGGCCTAGTCAAAGCCCAAATTTAATCAATTTACTCAGCAGAGTGGGTCAAAGGTCATCCACAGTGACCTTAAAGCGAGTCGACGGGGAATCATAAATGATTCCAGAAATGAACAAATGAAACGTTTCAGAATGTGAGTTTATGGAGTTTTAATGTTTTTCTCAAATCCTGGACTTTAGTTTTGTTTCTTCGCCTTGGCTGTGATTGGCTGCTCTACATGCAGTAAATACTCTGATTGGATGAAACGGATCGTTTTTGTTTCCTGAATAAATTAATTCCTGGTTTGAAAACATTTTTCTCTTTTTCTAACAGTTTGACTTAAAGTTTTTCTGACGGGAAAAGTTTTTATAAAACAAACTGCAGGAAAATATAAATGATATTTGTGGGCGAAGCTCCGATCCGCGCCGCCGCCGCCGCGCCCCGCCGCCGCGTCGCGGACTCACCAGCCCGTCCTCCCCGGCCTGCACCGCGGTCACCGCCAGGTCGTTCCCCGCGAGTCGAAGGCCTTGATCTCGATGCCCCAGTTGGTCTCCGGCTGCCGCAGCCAAACCGCCACCACCTGCTTCACGTCGATGCTCTGCCACGAGCTCAGCCCGGCGTTCACGTCGATCTTCAGGGAGCGGATCCGGACGTGCCTCCAGCCGCCGTCCGTGGCCGGCATGAGGCGGGAGATCTGCAGGAACACGGTGGTCGCCTCGGCCGCGGGGCGCAGGTGCACCCACAGCTGCGCGCGCACGATCCGCGTGGCCTGCAGCTTCTGCGTGAAGGAGAAGAAGCAGCAGGTCGGTTCCCCGTCCTCCTGGACCGCCGGGTCGGCTGCAGGAACACAGAGCGGGACAAGACGCACGGAGGGTAAATATTGACAGGTGGAACCAGCTGACCCTGCAGGCTGCGAACAGAACCAGAACCAGAGCCGCAGCTTTTGACCTCATGTCAGAAGGAAAGAGATGAAGGTCGTTCTGAATCCATCATCGGCACCGAACCTGAACCTCGTTTTAAATCAGTGAATCTAATTTGTGTTCAATGTAAAATAAAAGCTTTAAAATAAAAATAAACACTTTGTGTCGCAAGCTCAAAAATACTATTTGTAAACTTAGTGATTCATCAGAATCACCAAAATCCTTCCAGGGAATGAAAAATGTGTTTTCACAGAAATCAATAAAAAAAACTTTGTTTTGCAAACACTAACAGAAATAAAGTTTTTAATCCTGGGATTCATATTAATTCTCCACCTGATGTCTCACTTTGTTCTCTGTCGCCTCTTAAAGCTTCATTTAGTCCCTATAAAACTGTCATAAACCTGAATGATCATCACATTAAACAGTTTTCTCTTCTGTTTGAGGAAAAACCTCAGTCTGGTCTCAACAGATGCAAAAAAAGCTGTTTGTTGTCTGGATGATGAGCTCCAGTGAAAATCAGCTTCATCACCATCAACACTCCAGAACTCAATGAGATGCCAAAATAAAAGCCGTTTTGTGCGTAAAATCTTGTTTTACGCACAAAAACAGTCAGAAACCGACAAATTGTTCTGCAAGAAACACACAAAACAAAAAGCCTTCGTGATTTTTCTTCATTTATCTTCTAGAATCTCCCAGCGAAAAGCTCCTCGCTGCAGTTCTGAGCGTAAAAAGTTTTTTTTTACGCGCAGAAGACGCGTTGATGGGGCAGAAAGCGCAGCTCGAGGCGGACTTACGTTCAGTGGCCATGATCATCAGAGTCTCGGTGGTCGCGTGCTCGTCGTCCTCCTCCGGTACCGGATCCCGGCTGTCGTCTCCCAGCACGTCGTACTGGTCCAGCAGCTGCTGCAGCGGCGGCGCTTTGGGCAGCAGCAGCTGCACCGCGTCCCGGCTGATGTTGGGCGCCTCCTTCATGCGCAGTTTGCTCAGAATCTGCGACTTGATGGCGTTGATCCGCATGGTCTTGATGTGCTGCCGCACCTCGCAGGTGAGGCACTGCTGCGTCCGTGGGGCTGGTGGCGGCGGCCGGCTGCGGGTCCGGTTCGCTCAGAACAACTGGACCCAGAACAGCCAGCAGGCTGAGGCACAGCGCGGTCCGGGTCAGGTCCATGGTCTCTGCGGCTCGGTTCGGGTGAACAAGAAGGAAAAGATCCGCTGCGACGTGATGCGCCTCGGAGCTGCGTGGGAAAATGAGCGCGCTGACGGGCATCATAGTATTAGCGCAGCTTTTTATACTCCAACTTTCACCTGTTACGTGGCAACAGAAGCGATGATTGGCTGGAGAGGAAACGATGCGTTCAAACCGAGAGGAAGGATTTTTATCAGGTGAATCACATTGAAAATCCAAAGCAAAACAAATTTCAAACAAACAGGATCAAAAACTTTAATGCTTTTTCTGCAGCTGAAGATCAACTCTGAGTTATCAACAGAAAAACAGTTTTATTTTATTTTGTTTTGTTTGTTTTCCCTAAAAATCTGCAGATAAAATTATATTGTGCTGAAAAAATATTGAAAATCTTTATTAATGTTTTGTTGAAGAGACAGCGCCACCGTGTGGCGTGTTTTATATCACATGAGACATAAATATTAAAATAATTAATGAAATAAACATCAAATTATATGAGATTCAGTAATAATTTTGGTTTTCAGACATGTGAGATTTTGGCAGCGTGACTTCCATAAATGTGACTATTTATTCATTGTGTTCACTTCCGGTTGAGCTTTTATTTTTCTGTCATGGCGGAAGTGGGTTTGAACGGAAAGCGTGACTTTCAGAATAATGAGTCAATTTATTTTATTTTTTACTTCTCTTGCTTTTTTATGTTTTTATTACTTTAAATATTTAAAAATCAAAAGTCACATCCTGAAGATTTTTTTCATTTCAGTATTGTTTGGTATGTTTTCTGCGCGGAAATGACGTCACGTGGTGCATAAAACGCGCCTTTTTTAAGTCGCGAGTAACGAATAAATGTGGAGTTAAAACAGAAGCAGGTTTTAATAAAATATTACAGTTGTTTCGGGAAACGTTGAAAAAAAAGTATTTATCTTTATCTTTATTTTGAAAGTGACAGCCGGAAGAAGTATTCTCCTGTCTGTCACTGACCTCTGCAGGTCGTGTCCGGCCGCAGCTCCCAGTCCCGCCAGTCAAGATGCCCTTCGTGGTTCTGGACAGCAACCTGCCCGCCGACAGCTTCTCCTCGGGTTTCCTGCAGCGGTTCTGCTGCGTCACCGCGGCGGCGCTGGGGAAACCGGAAGACGTGAGTCCCTCCGACCCGGTTCCACCTCCGACCCGGTTCCACCACTTTACCCTGCAGGACCAGAACCGACCCGCTGAGAACAGTTAGACTGCGGAAGTTTTCTTTTAAAATCGGTGTAACAGATCGGGGCGTCTCCAGGTTATCTGGCGACCAGAACCAGAGGAGTTGTCAGCAGGGGCGACCCAAAGTTTTATGGGGCCTGGAGCAGAACGAGCTGCGGGCCCCGATTCAAAACAGAATCTGGATGGAGTTTAATTGGCTGATTAATTAGTTATTATTATTGTTACAGATTTTTGTGTTTTAACACTAAATTATTCCTGGTATTTTTGTTAAATTTTTTTTTCTTGTAGCATATCTGAAATATTCATAAGGGTCAGGGTTAGCTGAAGCTGAAATATGTATCCGCTGTGCTATTGGCTACATTGCTAATCCAGGAGAATCGTTCATTTTCTTTTGAGTTGATTGGCTGAAACCTCAAGCAGAAATAATGACCAGGATGTTAGCTTCTGTTAGCAGTAGAGCTCAGCTTCTACTGTGTGCATTCATGACCTTCATGGTACAAACAGGCAATTCGAAGCATTTTAGAGATGATCTCAGGTGAATAATGTCGAGCAACTCGTTATGAAGCAGCCGAACTGACCGGAGGCTGTTCTCCCCCAGAGGATGAACATGGTGGTGCATCCAGGGCTGCCGATGCTGGTGGGCGGCTCCTGCGCTCCGTGTGTTGTGGTGTCGGTGTCGGCCATTTCTGTGACGGACAGCGCCGAGAAGAACAAGGAGCACAGCGCCAAGATCTTCAAGTTCCTGACCGAAGAACTGAGCCTGGCTGAAGACAGGTGAGCTCCCCCTGCTGGACGTTTCCATAAACACTGCATTCAGTCAACATTAACAGAGAATTTGTCACTTTGTCCCTTTAGTTTCTGCTTCCTAATAGAAATGAAGCTGTTATGACATGATAATAGAAGTAAAAATCCAGTTAAAGATGCTAAAGCGTCGACAGAGCCGCCATCTTTGTTTCTGCTGACAGCTTCCTGTTTGGCTGACGGAGCAGGAAGTGATGCGTCTGGTTTGATGTGACATTTGCAGGATTGTGATCCAGTTCCTGGAGCTGCAGCCTCACCAGGTGGGGAAGAAAGGAACCGTGATGAGCTTCCTGTGAAGAACCAGCAGCAGACGACCTTTAACCTCTGCCCATTCCAGAATCCCAACTGGAGATTTGTACCGTTGAAATAATGTCACTGTTTAAAGTGAAGCTGTTAATTCCAGAAGTAGAAATCGAGTTGGTCCGGTTTGCTGGAGGAACCGGCCCGGTTCCTCTGATCGGCTCTGGGATCGATTTCTCTTCCTGTAGATGAAATAAAGATCATCACTGCACATCCCATAATGCAAAACACTCACATTCTTTCTTTAGTAGAAATAATGTTTTCAAAAATACTCTAGTAAAAGTTTTTCTCACTGTGTTTAAAATGTTCCTAAATACAAAAACTACAGTCATGTTCACCTTCAAGACAAAAAAATGTCTGAAATGCTCAAAAGTTTCTCGTCAGGCAGCGTTTCACTCTCAACATGCTCTGCTGCCGTGGAAACGATCAAAGTCCTGCTATCAGGAGAAACGCAGCGAATCTCCAGGCTGCAGACGGAGAACCTCAGTCTGGATGTTTGTGACGTTTCTCAGCTCAAATCCTCCAGGACGTTTTTCCTCTCAGTTTCTCAAGTGGTTTTTTCCTTTTGATTATGGATCTCATCATGGAAATAAACATTCATATGTGACAAAGTAAGGAGGACGAAGTACAGACTGATCTGGAGAGTAAAAGTAAAAATAAATACTCAAATATTCAATAACTGAAAAATGTACTTAATTGCAGCTGCAGCTGTTTTTCAGGTTCTGATTCAGACGTCATGTCCGCTGCAAAGCTCCCGGATGCAGAGCTGCATCCTGACGTCACGGATTCACGACTCATTTTATTTATCCTGATATGGAAAATGTCTCAGTTCAGAGATAAATGTTTGAAACTTCATCACAGGAAAACCTGGACGATGACTTTCACCACAACTTATTGCAATAAACAATAATATGGAGTTCCGCCTGTCCCGGTTCCGCCTGTCCCGGTTCCGAAGTTTCAGAACTAAGTCTGGAATTTGAGCTGCAGTACATTTTTTGGACAGCAGGTGTCGTAGTTTCCCGGCGGCCTGGTGAATGGGTTCGGAGGTTCTGTTCTGGAATGTGGGAGTTTTGGGCCGAACTTCCGGTGTTTTCAGTGTTTTCTCGCGGTTGGGAGGATCATCTTTGGTTCTGCAGAGAGACGCGGGTTGCAGCTGCAGCAGCAGCAGCAGCAGAGATGGTGGTGGAACTTTATCTGGACCTTTTCTCGCAGCCATGTCGCTCCGTCTTTATTTTTGCGAAGAAAAACAACATCCCCTTCGAGTTCAAGAAGGTTTCTCTGATGGACGGTGAGTCTCCTGTTGAGGTCAAAGGTCGCTGTTTGATCTGCATGGTTGCTGAAAATGATCCAAACAAATATTGATCCACAGTTTTATAATTGATAATTTCATCCTTTGCTGCCAATCATGAAGAGTTTAGTGAAATAATGCTGCTGTTGCATTTTAGGCATACATTTTTTATTTCTTATCTGAAAATGGATTTAAATTTATTTGCAGCTTTAAATGCACTTCAAGAAAACTTAAATGAACAATCAGCCAGATGTGTCATTTAATAATTAATCTACGGAGCCCCGCAGGGGACATGAGTTTTTTCTTTCTTTTGCGTTATCTCGCAAAACAAACGCAAAAGAAAAAAAAATCCCCATGTCCCCTCGGGGGCTCCGTATTAATCATCAGAATAATAGATTATTAAAATAATGGTTGGTTGTGATTATGGCTGCAGCAACCTTTGACCTCATCTGTTGGCTTTTTTTAGTCTGGAAAGTTGGTAAGTCAAAAACTGATGTTGGAATCGGACAGAGGAGGATCTCTAGATGTTAGTGGATCTCTAGATGTTAGTGGATCTCCAGATGTTAGTGGATCTCCAGATGTTAGTGGATCTCTAGATGTTAGTGGATCTCTAGATGTTAGTGGATCTCTAGATGTTAGTGGATCTCTAGATGTTTGTGGATCTCCAGATGTTAGTGGATCTCTAGATGTTAGTGGATCTCTAGATGTTAGTGGATCTCTAGATTTTTGTGGATCTCCAGATGTTAGTGGATCTCTAGATGTTAGTGGATCTCTAGATTTTTGTGGATCTCCAGATGTTAGTGGATCTCCAGATGTTAGTGGATCTCCAGATGTTAGTGGATCTCTAGATGTTAGTGGATCTCTAGATGTTAGTGGATCTCTAGATGTTAGTGGATCTCTAGATGTTTGTGGATCTCTAGATTTAGTGGATCTCCAGATGTTAGTGGATCTCTAGATGTTAGTGGATCTCTAGATGTTAGTGGATCTCTAGATGTTAGTGGATCTCTAGATTTTTGTAGATCTCTAGATTTAGTGGATCTCCAGATGTTAGTGGATCTCCAGATGTTAGTGGATCTCCAGATGTTAGTGGATCTCTAGATGTTAGTGGATCTCTAGATTTTTGTAGATCTCTAGATTTAGTGGATCTCCAGATGTTAGTGGATCTCCAGATGTTAGTGGATCTCTAGATGTTTGTGGATCTCCAGATGTTAGTGGATCTCTAGATGTTAGTGGATCTCTAGATGTTAGTGGATCTCTAGATGTTAGTGGATCTCCAGATGTTTGTGGTGTTGATAGGATCGGTCTCTTGTCTAAGTATCGGCCAATCGGTGCAGCAGTTACATTTCCTGCAGACTTCCTCTTCCTCCAGGAAGTCTCGTCTTGCCTGGTTTCCTGCTGGTCTGCCATGTCTGTTTGGGTTTCAGGTGAACATTTTGGAGATGAATTTGGGAAAATCAGCAAGATCAGGAAGGTTCCAGCACTTCGAGACGGAGACTTCTGCCTGGCTGAGAGGTGAGTGTTTGCTGAAAGCGGCGTTTTCCGTCCGGATGCGTCCTGACGAGCCGCCGCTTTCCTCCAGCGTCGCCATCATGCTCTACCTGGCAGAGAAGTTCGGGACTCCGGACCGCTGGTACCCGGCCGACCTGCGGCTGCGCTGCCGGGTCAACGAGTTTCTGTCCTGGCAGCACATGGCCATCCGGATGCACGGCTCCAAGATGTTCTGGATGCGGGTGAGTTCCCCAAAACCCGACGCTCAGACTGGTCCACACTGGTTCCAGTTCAGAACCAGCTAGCCTGTTTTAGCATTAACCAAATGCTTCATGATGATAAAAACAGAAATAAAATTAAGTCTGATTTAAAAAATAAAATTGGGACTAAAATAAAAATCAACTGAATAAAAACCTATTTGTTGTGGCGATTGTTTGTTCAACCAAACATCCAATAAAAAAAGTTCCATCAGCCACTATGAGGCTCTGGGGTCAAGGTTCTTGACGCAGGCGAAAGAAGTTCAAGGTCCAAACTTGTTGATTGTCTTGGTTGCTTTTATTTTCCTTTTATGCAAGCAATTAGATTTATCAAACTTTTCTTTGTCCTCCTGACGTCTCTTGCTCTGGTAAAAACCAGAGGCCCCAAACCCAAACGCCTGCTGGTCCTTTACCAGGCCCGACATTTATAGAATGTGGACTGACCCGCCTCACTTCCTGTCTGGCTTACAAATAATAAAAAATAGGAAAAAATAAGAAAACAAAACAAAAATAAAATCAATTATTAACCTGCAAATAAACTCTGTAAATAATGCAAAAAACAGAAGTTTAAGAATAAACTAACAAAATTCAAATGGATAAAGAATAAATAGCTCCAACAATATTGGTTTGACCTGTTGACCTTTAGCAACAAAACGTTTGCTGGTTCTGACCGAAGCTTTAGCCTTTTGTGAGACTTGTGGTCATTTTTGACTTTTTATATTTTGTTAAATCTATTTTTTCTTCCTCGAGAAAAGAAGCTGTGTAATAATTATTGATATGCACAGATAAAAATATTAATCAAATCTATGAAACGTTGAAGTTTAGCAGCTTTGGGTCTAAACTAAAAATATTCACTTTGTTTTGTCTCTGCTGTTTTATGGCTGAAATAAATCAACTGAACTTTTTCCCTTTGAAGACAAACAAGGCAGAAAACTGACTGTGATCTTTGATTACTGATCTGATCAGTTATTAACCAGAATCGAGTCAAACGCTTCAGACAGAACCGTTTCAGCCCAGGAAGCCTTAAAGGGCCAGGCACATAGATCCACTTTACACATTTAACATTATATGTTGCCTTCAGTTGTTTTAAAAATGATATTTATACAAAATATGACTTCATAATTTACAGCCTTGAAATTGGGCCTCTGTCTCTTTAAGAAGCTCCGCCTCCAGGAAGTCAGCCAACATGGCTTCCCTATTGACCCTTTAATGTTTTTACCAGCAGCCCCTGTACTGAGCTCAACAGATGTTTGCTAATAGCTGCTGGCTAGTCTGAAGGAGCTGCACCTCGAAGGCGGGGCTCGGCCCAATCAGCGGAGTGGTTGCCATGAAGAATTAATGTTTGTCTGCAGCTCATGATTCCTAAGATCATGGGGATCGACGTCCCGAAGGACAAGATGGACGGAGCGCTGGAGGACCTGAACGCCTCGCTGAACCTCATTGAGGACAACTTCCTCCAGGACCGGCCCTTCATCGTGGGGGACCAGATGTCTCTGGCCGACCTGGTGGCCATCGTGGAGGTCATGCAGGTGAGCTGGAAGGGTTAATTGGGCCAGAACCAGGACCGGGTTCCTGTGGAGGGAGGTCCGGCCCTGCAGGGGATTTCCTGTCGGTGTTTATCCAGGGAGGCTGAAACCTTCAGATTTCCTGAAGGCCCTTCAAACTGCTTGTCACTCACTAAATAGAAAAATTATTTTTAAAGATGTGTCATCATCTGATGAGCCAAACGGAGCAGCTAGCCGTCCGGCTAATAGCAGAGTGAAGCATGAAGACCTTCAGGATTGGTGGACAGGAAGCTGCAGGTTGTTGCTTTCCGCTGGTCCAGTCCAGGAAAACAAGTTCTGATAGCAAAGCAAATATTCAGTTATTAAATATTTAGTACATGTTAGCTAAATATTTCTCTCCAGCTTAAACATTCAGTTAGCAAACAAAAAATTATTTTCTAACAATGTTTTTGCTAACAGACCAATATTTAACTCTGCGCTAAATATTTTTGTTTGCTAACTAAATTTTTCGCTTTCAGGTAAAAATGTAGTTAACTTGTTAGTTAGAAAGCTAAAAATTGTGCTTGTTAAAAATGTTTAGCACTGAGTAAATATAAATATTAATGCACAGGCCCAGATGTAGCTTGCTAACTAAACTAGCTAGCTGTTTTTCCTTTTAGCTCAGAGCTAATTGTTTCGTTAACAGATATATAAAATGTGATTCTTCACTGAACTCAAACCTGAATCTGAGTTTTCAGTGTTTCTGCTCATCAGACAGGAGGAAAGTTCAGTTGAAGGACGACGTGACTCTGGTACTTTATCCAGGCTTTGCTGATGAAGAGGAAGTGATTCCTGCCACTTCCTGAGGATGAAGGGTTGCTGCTAAGTCAGCAATGGTGACGCTATCAGATGAATGTTCACTTTGCACCGAATGATCAGGAGAATCTGACTGAACTGCTTCATGATTTCAAATTATTTATCTCTGAGCCAAATATTAATTTAGCAATCTAAAGATTTACCACTAACTAAGCAAACAGCTCAGAAGGAAACCTTCATGCTATGTTCAGTTCTGAAACGTTTCTCTTCTTCTCCTGTCCACCAGCCGCTGGGCGCCGGGCTGGACGTGTTCGAGGGCCGAGCGAAGCTGAGCGCCTGGCGGGACCGAGTGCAGGCCGCCATCGGGAAGGATCTGTTCGACGAGGCCCACCAGGTCATCCTGGGGGCTCAGGACGCCATGAAGCAGGTGGATCCCAGCAAACTGGAGCTTTTCAAGCCAAAGATCCTCCGGCTGTTCTTCTGAATCAAACCGATGTCGTGATGAAGCCTCACCCTCTGCTCAACCTTCCTCTAATGATCCTGCTTATGTAAGGCTGGAGGCCTGGGAAACAAACGGGATTATGTAACCGAGGAGTGAAATATGATGCTTCTCTGAGGTTTCTGGAATGTCTGTCATTAAGCAATCAGTTCTGATTCATAATCTTTTTACTGTTTCATTTAATCTGTGGTAATCCTGAACTTCTGATAAACTTTAAGTCACAGTTTGGCTCATTGGTGTTTGGAGTTTTGAAGATAATAAGAAATGTGAACTTAAAAACTTTTAAGATCAGGAAAAATGGCCTCTGTTGTAAAGGAATGGGGAGGTGCTGCCCCCTGGTGGTGGAAGTGACGTAGCTGCAGTTGGAAGTTGATCATTTCTTCAACTTTAAGAACCAAAAACAACCAAATAAAATGATAAAAGAATAAAAAATCTGCCTGTTATGAAACCAGCCTTTGAATCTGTTTCACTTTTCTATATTTGTTACTTTAAAACCACAAACTTCAGTAGATTTTACAGCAGTAAAACATGTTTAATAAATTTCTATTTAGGAATCAAATATTCACCTTCAAACTACATATTTAGTGATCAAGCTAAATATTTAACCTACCATCTAAATATAAATTGTGCAATAAATCTATAATTTACTTTGTAAATATTTAGTTTGAAGCTATAGATCCTTGGGAAATATGTATGTTTAATAAGTATTTAGTCTAAAACGAAATGTTTGCTTTACTGTTTAGTTTATTATATTTAGTACTTCCCTTCATGAAATATAGTTTTACACATGAATGTTTATTTTGTTTGCTATAAAATATTCATCTCGCTAAATAAATATTTAACTTCAAACTGACAAATTAATAACTCGGTGGAAATAAGGGGGTTGATGTTGAGTCATGTTGGGTTTATTTCCTGCTCCGGGCTGTTTGTTCATCCAGCAGGGGGCAGCAGCGCGCCGCCGCGCCGCCGGGCGCGCGCGCGCGCTGCGCTGCGCCCCGGACTCATCCAGAGCGCCGCTGCGCCTCGGCGGAGACCCGCTCCGCTCCGGACCGGACCGGACCGCCTCTCCCTCCTCCCTGCCTGCTGCGGAGCTCCGGCGGCCGCACAGCGACCTGCCGGCGGCGGAGGACGCTCCAGCATCCCGGGGTCGTTTAAACCGCTCAGATTATCTAAATCTGGCACGAAGCGGCGCGTCATCCAGAACCACAACCCGCAGGACAGGCAAGTTGGGTCCGGATCTGGGATTTTACTGGGTTTTACTGGGCGGCTGTTGCAGCATTTGATCCTGAACGACCTTGTGTTGTTAATGCTGTGACGGAGGATTTTCAGGGAACGCAGAGGATTTTCAGGGAACGCAGAGGATTTTCAGGGAACGCAGAGGATTTCAGGGAACGCAGAGGATGGTTCCTTCCTGCAGATGAAAGTATGTGGAGCTCCACTGGGTCACGTTTCCACGCAACATGTTTGAGAGTCGCGTCTGCTGTGACCTCACCTGCCTGATGCTTGATGACCTTTGGGCTCTTTAAGGGGGTCAGATGCTCAGGTCGGCGCGGAGCCCCCCACGCCCACTCAGACACTCCGCATGTAAATCATTGATGGGCTGCACTGCGTGGAGGAAGATCCTGAATGAAGCACATGCTGGGAGAACCAGGCTGCAGAGGAACAGATGGGACACAGAGGCTTACACACACACACACACACACACACACACACACACACACACACACACACACACACACACCACACACACACACACACACACACACGCTGCTCGGTGTGGCGCCACACTGTCACAGGCAGAGGGATTGAGTCATAAACTGCCCAGGCAGAGGGTGAGGGGAGGCCTTGACCTCCACTCTGCCCTCCCAACCCTCCTCTGGAGGCTTCAGCTTGTTTTTGCTCCTGATCATAGATTAGCTTTGACTTGGGACTAAAACGGCAACATTCCAATTCCAGCTGCTGCTTTTGCAAAACAGAACCCTCTGAACAAGCTGTTCCCCTCCTGGCCTGTGGGGGCGCTGCACCAAGAACCACTGAAGGAAACGACACAAAAACCTCTGATAACCTTCCTTCAAACAAAAATGGACGCATCAGATTTCAGCGGTTGGATGATTTCTCTTTAGTCTGTGGCTAAAGACAACAAGCCATTTCTTCTGCTAGCGCTATGCTAGCGCGTTGGCTTTGGTTGTATTTACCCCAATGCCCTGCGCTTTAGTCTGCTTGGCATTCACATATGCATTCAAACCGTACCAGAGTTCACTTCAAACAAGCCCAGGTTGAGGTTTTAGACGGATCAGTTTTTGTTCAAACCTCCTGAAACTTCAGAGCTTTTAAAATTTATTTCATCTGTTTTTATCTGAGCTCAACTGATTTCACTTCCCGTCATTTAGCCTCAGTCACTTTCTGGAACATAAACCAGTGACCTCTATCCTCTTGTCTCCCTCAGCTGCAGCGGACCGGGTCGGGCGGACCGGGTCGGGCGGACCGGGACGTTCTGCTCGCCCTCTTGGCTCTCTGCGATGGAATCCAGTGGATGACAGCAGCTGAAAACTCCCAGACGGAGGAAGAGGAGGTCGCCTCCAGAGCATGGGCTGCGTCAAATCCAAGCGGAGCGCCGCGGCCTCCCAGCACCCCAACTCCACGGAGAGGAAGCCCACGAGCGAGAAGGCCTACCTGGTGGGCGGCTCGGCGGACGGCTCGCCGCAGGTGAACGCGGCGCTGCTGGAGTACGCCCAGCGGCTGTCGGAGGACATCGTGGCGCGGGCGGTGCAGCAGTGGCTGGAGGTGGACAGCCGCTACAGCGACATCCCCTACATCGAGTGCGACGTTCCGTGACGGGAACCTTCAGTCCTTCAGGCCTGGCGGCGGACGAGTCGACGGGAATCCGGTCCGACTGGACAGGATTCATCCTGAAACCTTCCTCCAAACGGACCAACCCGCTCTCATCCCAACTCTGTGACGATGAGTCCCAGGAATCTCATCTGACCCTTGACCCTAGCCTCTCCCTGGAGCTTCTTTCACTGCCACTGCTTCGCCTTAACCTCTGCCCTCCGCCAGGTGGGCCTTCTGGGCCGCTGACGATGCGTTCTCCTGATTGGGAGCTTTGACAGGATCCGATTCATCGGACGAACCGACGAGACGTTTCGGTTTTGGTTGGTTCGTTTTGGCTACGTTCACACAGCAGGCGAATTCGCTCGATTCCGATCTCTCACCAATTTGTTTGGAAATAAATCGGATTGTTTCCACAGCATGTCAATACATGTGGGATTTTATTCGACCTTTACGTCATTGAGGTGAACGTGCCTCATAATTCTGCACCAGAAGAAGAAAGACGTAAATCTGGACATAAGCAATGAAAATGATAATCATGAACTCATGAAAGAATTCTGAGTCAATCGGAAAACTTTAAAAAATACATTTTCATAGTCGTTTCCATTAAATAAAGAAAATTAAAATCACATGAAGAAGACCACTTCCTGTAGTCTTTTTCTTCTTCATTTCCTGCAGTAGTAACATGCTATTGTTGATCCTGTGTTTCCATTGCAGTAAATATACTAATGTTGCTAAAACCTTTTTTTGAAAAGCTTGTTTTTTCTAAATTTCCTTTGAGTGAATTTAGTTTTTAATTCCAATTTGCGTAATTTTAAGGGAATGGAACCGCAGCATCCCAACACTTCGGGTCCGAATCCACCAAACAAATACGCAGAAAAAAAATCGTATTTTAGCGAAAAGTCGGAACTGAGCCTGAAGACCTGCTGTGAGAACGTGAACATTGTTCTGCTGTTGATGCTTTGGTGATAAACTTCCTCTGGTTGCTTCAGGAAACTCAGCAACCGAAACTCACTGTGCAAAAGTCTGGAGTCATCAGCCTGAACCCGTCTGCTCCTGGACGGTTTTCAGTTTTTATTCCGTTTCTTTGGTTAAATCGATGAAAAACACCAAAGAAAAATAAATTTTAGCTCCAACCAAAACCTGAAAACGAGTTTCAGGAACCGAAAACATTTCAGTCCGGCCTCATCAAACATCCAGACTTTCTGAAACTCTCAATGTTTCTCTTTGGGTTTTATGAGCTTTTTTTTAAAGAAACATATAAATTAGGAAAGTTCAGGTCTGGTTAAATATGTCGCCCAGTTTGGGTCAAAGTCAGATCGGGTTTCTGTCGGCGTTCATCCAGATTACAATCTGAGAAACATTTATGACTTCATGGTCATAAAGACCTAAAATGAACCAAAGGCCACAGAAGGAGGTTTAATGTGTTTCTGTGAGGCGTTCAAGTCCCGCGTGTTTAAAACTAATCAGGTTTCATTTGGTTTCTCTCCTCTTGTCTGATCGGCATCGTGTGATTTCTGTGTCTCTGGGGAGTTTTAAAGATCAATAATCTTTATTAAAACTTTCATCAGAAGCTTTAGGAAAATGTTTTTCCGTTCGGATCCAAACTGTCGGCTCAGTTATTTAAAGTGGAGCAGGAGAAACTGGCCTGAGACCAGCGCAGCTCTAAACGCTCCACAAATCCAAACGGCTCAAAGCTGCAGGACAAAAACACGTCGAGCTCATAAAACACAGAAACCAGGTTTTATTCTACGACCTTTAATGAAAGGCCATTATGTTCGGTTTTGGAAAACTTCAGATCTTTTTGTTGCCAAGAAAAGAGAAAAATCATCTTCAGGAATCAGTCTGTAGTCAATATTTCTGCAGAAACACAAAATCAGCAGTTTTAGAGCAGCGGTGTCCAAAGTGTGGCGCTGGGGCCTTTCAGAGGCCGGGCGAGGATCCTGTTCGGACTCGGCTGCTTGGTTCATGTCGGTTCCTCAATGTAGCAAATCACAGATATGAGACTAAACTGTTTCATTTCATTCCTCATTTTTGTTCCAAAAGAAAAACAACAGATGATAATTTGTAATCAAATCATAATTTGCATTTCTGAAAAAAACCTGCACAGGTGAAGAAGCCAGTGAGTCTGAAGGGATGGATTCAGGAACTCAAGGAAAAGTCAAATCATTTTAACTGTTGAGAAGAAAAATGATGGAGCCATAAAAAGAAAAAAAGCCATTTGAGTTTCCAGACGTTTTGCTTGAAGCAGCAATAATTTGAGTTTCAAACGAGAAAAACAAAAAAGTTATTTTATTCATTCATAAATGTCAGTTTCAGCTCAGAGTGAAATATTTTGCTTGGATGTAAATATCTAGTCAGCAACATTTTGCTTGCAAATGACATATTTCCACGTGCTTAGAGTAACTAAATATCCTGGAGGAGCAGCGATTCCTCTCTCCTCCAGCCTGAACCGTCAGCCTGAAGTCATGCCTTCAGCCCCAGTGTTTGCTTTAGAGCGGGTCAAAGGTCAGGCTGAGCGCAGGACAAACTGCGCTCAGCTGCAGAGCCTCAGTTTTAGGAAACACTAAAACGTCTTCAGGTGAGACTCACCTGTGAGGACAGAACAGGAAGCTGCCAGCAGGAAGTGAACACAGTTTACAGATTCACCAACCTGAGGCAGCAAGCCAACCAAAAAAACAAAATGGCTGCCAGGGCAAGAACACGGGACAAACTCCAGGCACGGCAGCGGCAGAATGATGCTTGGGGCTCTGAGCATCAGGAGAGCTGAGCCTGGAAAACAAACTAAATACTTTCAAATGAAATATTTAGGATATTTAGCTAAATATTCAGTTAGCAAACTAATGTGGTTCAAAGAGTAAATCTAGATGTTAACTCACATTTATCAAACTAAATATTGAGATCAAGAACTAAATGTTTAGTAACAACATTAAACATTTAGCTTGTTAACTAATAATTTAAAAAACTAAATATTTAGCTTGTTGCTAATAAATCTGAAGCTACATATTAAGATGGCAAACAGATTTACAGCCCAAACTAAATGGTGATGAAATTAGATAGCTTAGTTAGCAAGCTAAATATAAAACTAAATGTTTAGCTTGGGGCTAACAGATCTCAGGCTAAGCTAAATATTTAGAGGAGAAACCATCTGGACATCAGGGTTACCAAGACGTCAGCCGCTGAAGCTAATGCTAACAGAATGCTATGACTGGTGCATTTTTCTGTTTTTGATAAATAAAAACTGTTTGTGATTTTATTTGTTTATATTCCAGGATCCGGTGAGCAGCAGATGATCTGCTCTGGTAATTAAACTTTAAAATAAGACATGCAAACGCATCACTTCCTGTTTTTACCTTGAAAAAATGTTGATAAGTAATAAACTTTTTTATTGCTTTGTGCTTCTGACTTATGAATAATGCAGAGCTGCAGACGCCATGTTTGGGGAAGTGGCTTCACCACAGAGCAATTAGCAGATTAGAAATAAAGCAGAAAACAGATTTCAGTTTGATGAAACTGTATTTGATTTCTCTGCAGTCACTAATAAATCCTGTTGCTGCATTATTAATAATTACAAAAGAACTGAATCAATAGTGTTTGTGTTGGAGAGCGATCCGAGTGGCATCAGCCGACACCCCGGGGAAAAGCCATAAAGCACTCAGCGGTGAGGTCACTTCCTCTGCCGGCTCCAGAGAGCTGCTCCGATCCAGGAGTCTGGTTCTGATGGTTCTGATGGTTGAGAAGAGGCCCGGCGGTGGGCTGGTCAGAACCTCAGGTCCTTCTCCCCCAGCGAGGCGAAGCATTCGTCCACAAAGCAGTCGGAGACCTGGTCCAGCGACGGCGGGCTCCAGCGCGGGTTCTGGTCTTTGTCGATCAGAACTGGAGAGGCAGAGAGATTCTGACATTAACGGGTCCGTGACCAGCAGGGGGTCGTTTAACGAGACCTGATCTGGTTTTACTCTACAATCAGAATCTGATGGAAAGAAGAGAAGAACTGGAATAAACCGGATTCAACTGGTGAAAATCTATAACTGGGTTTAAACTGAATTATGTGATAATTTACAGTAAAAATAAACTGGACTGAACTGGAGTGGATTTCTTTGGACCAGAACCAGTGGTTAGTGCCGCTAACTAACCCTAAATCATAAACAGTAGCACTGCTAAAGCTAAGCGTTACATGAACACAGTATTTAGCAGAAGCTAAAACACCAAATTAATTTAAAATGGCATCTGCTCCAGAAACACCACAAGACTTCTGCTCAAAACTACAACTGATCTGTGGAGTTCCCACGGATCCGTCCAAGGATCCATCCTGGGTTCTCCCCTCTTCAACATCCTACAGATTCTACAGAAACTCAGCAGAACTCAGCAGAACGCAGCAGAACTCTGCAGAACTCAGCAGAACTCACCTGCCCGAACGCCTTCGTAGAAGTCATGGCCTCTCTGGAACGGCAGAAACAAACCAATCAGACGACGGTTTACTAACGACGACAACAATCCAGTCGTCTCATTTCCAGACTGAGTTTAGAACGTTGCAGAACTCTTGACCCGTCGGGTTCTCACCATGCAGGCTTGGCTCAGCCGGTACTCCATCACCAACACGTCCTGCAGGCTCATGGCGGCGCCGACCTGCAGCTGCCTGAAGGTGACCTTCAGCGAAGTGGGAGACATTCTGGACAGAATCTGGACAAACCATGAGCAGAACCAGAGTCAACACAGTTATTGTCCCGGCTCGGTTCTGAGGAGACATGCTGGGCATGTCTGTAAGGAATGGTCTAACTGGGAAGACTGGGAGTTTACTGACGGAGAATCAACAGTGAGATATTTATTCCAATGAATGAATAAATGAGTGAATAAAGTTTAGAGCTCCTTAGTGAAATCCTTCTGTGATTGGCTGAGTCGTCATTAAACATCTAACCTTGGGTTAATAATTACAGAACATTAGAGCCAAACATCATCCCACTTCAGCCCAGCACCAATGCTGCTGCAGGGCGCCGACCTCCAGGCCGACCTCCAGGCCGACCTCCAGGCCGACCTCCAGGCCGACCTCCAGGCCGACCTCCAGGCCGACCTCCAGGCCGACCTCCAGGCCGACCTCCAGGCCGACCTTCAGGCCGACCTCCAGCCCGACCTCCAGGCCGACCTCCAGGCCGACCTCCAGGCCGACCTCCAGGCCGACCTCCAGGCCGACCTCCAGGCCGACCTCCAGGCCGACCTCCAGGCCGACCTCCAGGCCGACCTCCAGGCCGACCTCCAGGCCGACCTCCAGGCCGACCTCCAGGCCGACCTCCAGGCCGACCGGGGTGTCAGCGCCTCTGGCAGCAGGTTCTGCCAGCATGGAGGAATATTTCTGCTACTTTCTTAAAGACGAACCTCGACTTGTTTGTTAGCGAAGTCGGATCCGTCGGCCTTCAGGTTCTGCAGGATTCCCTCCATGCTGCTGGCGCCGAACAGCCTGGGAGGAGAACCAGTTCACACCAACCAGTGAGGGTTTCCACCAGTTCAGCTGCTGCTTCAATATCAGCTGATCACACTGTGAAAAACTCACCTGTCAATTTCAGACGTATGTTTGTCCAAGACGAACGGTTTATCAGAGTCCAGATCACTCTGGACAAAAACACAAGTTTAGATACAAAACTGCCTAAAAATATTTAAAATCCATGAAGTAAATGCATTAATTGCTGAGTGTTTGACCCTCTGACCTGCGCCTGGAAGGACTCCAGCAGTCGGGAGACGTCTGAGTCCGATGGAGACTTCAGGCCAACCAGCCGCTGCTCCAGCTCTGGGATCTGAAACACAAACTTCACTTTTTTCCCTTGTTGCTGAAATTTGCCACACTGATCAAATTTGATTGATTGATTGATTTATTTTTATTGGAACCCAATCTGATCGGGAGTTTCATAGGAGACAATACAGATGAAAGCAGAAATAAGCTGACATCCCCGACATTAAAGTGTCTGTTTTAGCTCAGGATGAAAGAAAATGAGATTTTAAAAAACTTTTGTCAAACTGAGACGTTTGGACCAAAGTTACCGTGACTTTAAACTGTTGTGGAGAATCTGAGAGCAGACAACCTGGGAACGGGTCGGGAACGGGTCGGGACAGAGACCGCTGTAGAGCTTTAGCGTAAATGTTATGGATGTAAATATGAAGTGACAGAGTGGACAGTCAGATCAACACTTCGTCCTGTGATTCATTTAACAGGCTTGGTTCTGATCCAGAGCTCCAGCAGAACCATCCAGCGGACGGTCTGTCCTCTGCCGCCCGCTGCTCTGACCCACACCTGGCCGCCGGGCCTGTCAGGACCAGTTGGCACGACTACAATGAAAATCCTGATTCACCCACTGACTCAACATCTGGCCCAAACTGCAGCAGCGCCGGTCCGACTCAGACCCGTTCGCCCTCGTTAGCCGGAGCCGCTTCACCTTCTTAGACTCTACGAAGTGAGTGGCGATGCCGGCGCGCTGGACGTCCCGTCCTTTGAGGCGGAAGCCCGTCAAGGCGAGGAACAGCCCCAGCTTCCCCCGCAGCCTCGGCAGGAAGTAGCCGCCTCCCACATCAGGGAAAAGCCCTGTCAAAATAAAACAACCACAGCTGGAGTGACTCTGAGGTCATTTCATAAGTTTATCAGACTCATCATGAGGGTTAGGGTTAAATAACACATCAGGGTTATTTATCTGTTTCTGCTGTTCCTTTGACCTCCAGCTGTGTGTTGGTGTGGATTCCTGTTACTGTCTATTCATGGATCTGGGCCGGGCCCTTCCACAACGTCAAACACTTCTCATCATCTGAGACTCGTCTGTTAGCCGGACTCAGATCGGCTCAGGAAGTCCTCTAGTCCAGCGGCTCCACGCAGCCAATCAGAGTCTCCTCGACCACTTCCTGTTGGCTGGGCCTCAGACCACTTCCTGTTGGTTGGGCCTCAGACCACTTCCTGTTGGTTGGGCCTCAGACCACTTCCTGTTGGTTGGGCCACCGACCACTTAGTGTTGGTTGGGGCTCAGACCACTTCCTGTTGGCTGGGCCACCGACCACTTCCTGTTGGTTGGGCCTCAGACCACTTCCTGTTGGTTGGGCCTCAGACCACTTCCTGTTGGCTGGGCCTCAGACCACTTCCTGTTGGTTGGGCCTCAGACCACTTCCTGTTGGTTGGGCCTCAGATCACTTCCTGTTGGTTGGGCCTCAGATCACTTCCTGTAGCTGGGCCTCAGACCACTTAGTGTTGGTTGGGGCTCAGACCACTTCCTGTTGGCTGGGCCTCAGACCACTTCCTGTTGGTTGGGCCTCAGATCACTTCCTGTAGCTGGGCCTCAGACCACTTCCTGTTGGCTGGGCCTCAGACCACTTCCTGTTGGTTGGGCCACCGACCACTTCCTGTTGGCTGGGCCTCAGACCACTTCCTGTTGGTTGGGCCACCGACCACTTTCTGTTGGTTGGGCCACCGACCACTTCCTGTAGCTGGGCCTCAGATCACTTCCTGTTGGCTGGTTGGATGTTTTGTTGTTGATTGGTTGTTTTCCTGATTTAGCTGGATGTGTTGGTTGGTTTTAGTCGGGGTTGTTTATGAATGAGGTCTCTCATAATATTATATATTTAATTTATTTCGGTTGTTGTTTTAAAGAACTAATAACTGCTGAGCTTGCAGTTTGTGGTCGTTTCTACTTCCTGTTATGTTTTGGTGGATGATGTTCAGGTTTGTGGTCTTTGCAGGATGGAGTTTCTCCTGGTCTCTCGGTTCTCACAGCCTTCGGTTCGGCCTGAGAAGAAAGCGTTGGGCATGAAGGAAGCAGCAGGGATTAGATGAGCTGGCCCCATTTACTGCTGGAATATTAGAAATGTGTCAGATTATAGCTTTTGTTCAGGATGCTGAAGGGGGTCAGAATAAATCTGATAATCCGGATACAGGAAGAGTTGATGTTTACACAAGAGGCCAACTGTTTGCAACGTAGTGGAGTAAAGCGGAAACAGAGAAGAAGTCCTGAAAGGTTTGGTCTGTTATTCTGCAGACGCTGCGGCGAGACATTCAGGGTCATCAGGGAAAAAACCGACAGATTACACCGACTCCATGCCAACAGCCTGATCCACAGGAACCACATCAAACATCTTCATCTGTGAATCTGTTCAACCCAGAACTTGTTAGTGGCAGTTTGAGGTTCACCTGGTTCTGGTTCACCTGGTTCTGATTCACCTGGTTCTGGTTCACCTGGTTCTGGTTCACCTGGTTCTGGTTCACCTGGTTCTGATTCACCTGGTTCTGGTTCACCTGGTTCTGATTCACCTGGTTCTGATTCACCTGGTTCTGGTTCACCTGGTTCTGGTTCACCTGGTTCTGATTCACCTGGTTCTGGTTCACCTGGTTCTGATTCACCTGGTTCTGGTTCACCTGGTTCTGGTTTACCTGGTTCTGATTCACCTGGTTCTGATTCACCTGGTTCTGGTTCACCTGGTTCTGGTTCACCTGGTTCTGATTCACCTGGTTCTGATTCACCTGGTTCTGATTCACCTGGTTCTGGTTCACCTGGTTCTGGTTCACCTGGTTCTGGTTCACCCGGTTCGCAGCGACCCGGTTCTTACCGATGGCGGTCTCCGGCATGGCGAACAGCGTCTTCTCAGTGGCGACCCGAAAGCGTCCGTGGACCGACAGGCCGACGCCCTGCAGGAGGAAAACAGAACGAATCAAAATGAAAAGCCGACCAGACTCCGATAAAAACAGGACGAACTTTAACTAGACCATAAAAACAGAACCAGAACCGGAGCTGAAACCCACAGCCTGCCTCTCAATAATGAGACGTTGTTCAAGGAATTGGGGAAAATTTCTGTCAAAAGATGCAAATTATAAATCAAGGACAGTTAAACACCCGGGTTGCCATGGTAACCAACCTCAATCCCAGCAAAGCAGGTAAATAAATTCATATTGATCCAAAAGAGATCAATCAGAGTATTGATCCCAGATCTGCAGTCTCTGATCTGATTTGTTTGGTTTTGGGAATTTCAAAGTTTTGATGAAATATTTGGAGCAAATAAAAACAGTTCCAGGTTTTCTGGGGGAGTTGAGAGTTAAACTCCGGCGCTGAGCCAAGCAGCAGCAGCAGAACATTCTGGTACCAAATAAGGCGCGTTTGGACCGCCTGATGTAAACAGACAATCCTCCGGTTCTGATTTACAACCTGCAGGCTGGAGACCTGGAACAGAACCAGAACCAGGGAGCTGGGATTCTGCCTGAAGACCGTTTCCTCTCAGCAGGACTCAGACCGCAGCTGGCGGCGACCTCTCGTCCCCCAGAGGTCAAAGTTCACAGCCCACCCCGATACGTCAGAGGGGACAGGTCCGACTGACACCCGGAGTCCGAAGACTCGGAACTGATCCGGTTCTGATCCAGGACCAGATCCAGGATCAGATCCGGTTCTGATCCTGGATCAGATCCAGGACCAGATCCAGGATCAGATCCAGGACCAGATCCGGTTCTGATCCTGGATCAGATCCAGGACCAGATCCGGTTCTGATCCAGGATCAGATCCAGGACCAGATCCGGTTCTGATCCAGGATCAGATCTGTGAGCAGGAAGTCTTTCCATATTTGGAGCCGGTCCGTTTCGCCCTGCGGAGCGTTGCGTCATAATCATGGCTGGTTCTGTGCTGACGTGTCCAACGGGCCGGCCTCAGGCTCAGAACCTCTGAACTAGTTCTGAACTAGTCAGCCGATATAAATGTCTGCTGCCGCTTCGGACCAGTCAAAGTCCGAGTTCTAACAGTCAGGAACCCGTCTGGGTCAACGGTTCCGCTCCAGCAGCAGTTCAATCACCTCAGGGTTCCTCCAATCAGAGGCCAGCTTCCAGGTAACACAGCTCTCCACTGACACCTGCTGGCCCGTTTTATCATCGCACTCATTAAGAAAAATAAAACATTTTAAGCCTGAGGTGAAAATAATCTATAATGGAGTATCATGGAAACACTGAAAGGTCTTTTATTAATAACACTCGGAATATTACCATAAAAAAATGATAAAATTAAGAAAAAAAATGTTTTAATGAGAAATAAATCTATAAATTCAGCGAGTCTTTATCTTAAATATTCTACTTTCACAATCATTTCAAAGCTCTGCTACTGATAATGATTTGATGTTTATGAGTTCAAAAAATGAAGAATTTCTTTCTCAACTCATTTAAATTTTTTAAAATTATGTTAGTGAAGGAGTTTCAATAAAATCCCCACTTCATTTGTTTAGTATTTTATTCTGGTATTAATTTGACTTTCTTATTATGATTTTTGATAATTAAACAGTTTTTCTTAGCCCTAATACTCCATCATTTTAATGAGGATGAATTAAATGAAGCTGAATTATAGAACGTTAATCTCACCCCTCCCATTGTTATTCCATCAATAATGGCGACATACGGCTTCCTGTAGGATCCTGAAAACACAGAAAACCTCTCAGAGGCAGCAAATCACATTTAATCCAAATAAAACGCTGAATCTTGTGGTTTTGACGGGACAAAAGATGCAAACATTAATAGAACCTATGGCGTTGTTCAGCAGGTATTCCTCCCGGAAAAAGTCCTGCGCGAGGGAATCGCCGACCTTCCCTGCTTCTGTGACGGCTGGGAACGAAAACAAACAGCAGTGAAGGAAAATCCTGAGGAGGGAGCAGGAAGAGACCCTGAGGTTGACCTTTCACCTCTGATGTCTCCTCCAGCGCAGAAGGCTTTCCCTCCTGCTGCCTTGATGATCACCATGTCCGTCTCTGGGTCACTTTCCCATTTCTGGAAACAAAAAGAAACTCAAAAATCATTAACATCCATCAGTTGATTACAAAAAACTGAATCTGTTATCAGTTCAAATCAAAACAAGAAAATAAAAGTAATTGGAGTAAATTAGTGTGACAGCAACAGGAGCTGAATCAGCCAATCAGAAAGCTGCTCATGATGTGGAGCTGCAGGACACGAACGCTTTAAACGTTACAAACATCAGGTTTTATAAAAACATTAAGTCTTATAAAAACATCAGGTTTTATAAAAACATCAGGTTTTATAAAAACATTAAGTTTTATAAAAACATCAGGTTTTATAAAAACATCAGGTTTTATAAAAACATAAGTTTTTATAAAAACATCAGGTTTTATAAAAACATTAAGTTTTATAAAAACATCAGGTTTTATAAAAACATCAGGTTTTATAAAAACATTAAGTTTTATAAAAACATAAGTTTTTATAAAAACATCAGGTTTTATAAAAACATAAGTTTTTATAAAAACATCAGTTTTATAAAAACATTAAGTTTTATAAAAACATCAGGTTTTATAAAAACATCAGGTTTTATAAAAACATTAAGTTTTATAAAAACATTAAGTTTTATAAAAACATCAAGTTTTATAAAAACATCAAGTTTTATAAAAACATAAAGTTTTATAAAAACATCAGTTTTTATAAAAACATCAGGTTTTATAAAAACATTAAGTTTTATAAAAACATCAGGTTTTATAAAAACATTAAGTTTTATAAAAACATCAGGTTTTATAAAAACATCAGGTTTTATAAAAACATCAGGTTTTATAAAAACATTAAGTTTTATAAAAACATCAAGTTTTATAAAAACATCAGTTTTCTCCTGACCGTCACTGATGGACGTTTTCTGTCCGATCTTTAAAACCCTGAAGATCTTAGAGAATCGTTCAGTTTCCATTTGATTCTGACCTTTAGGGTCACCATTTGATTCAGACACAATTTTTCTACTCAAACATTTTAATGATTCTGTTCTGAGTGACAAGAGAAAAATACAGTGTAAACAAATAAAATGTATTTAATCACTTCCAGCAGGTTGCATCAGTTTTTAAACATGTCAGCTGATGCTTTCTGCTTCTTGAATGAAAAGTATGAAAGGATTCATCAAAGTTCACGCGGTGGGCGAGTGGATGCAGGATGCGATAAGCAGCTCGCTGAAAGCAGGAGCGGAAAAGACGAACAACTTTAACGCATTTTGAAATCAATATTTGACCATTTCCAGGATTAGGAATTGTGATTTTCTCGCTTTTCTCTACAGAGAACAAAAGTTTTGCCAAGTTTTCAGGAATTTATCAAAAACAGGATGAATGGTGTATGTAAACTTCTGGCTCCGCCCACCTGCAGCTGCGGGTGAATCTGCCGGATCATGCTCAGGTTGAGCGCGTTCAGGACTTTGGGTCGGTTCATGGTGATCACTGCGGCCCGGCCCGCTTTCTTCCCCAGAACCGGTTCCACGTGAGCCGACATCTGGAGGGAAACAGAAACATTTCATGCTAAACAGATACTGATGAAAATAATTCAGTAATTATCATAAATTACTGAGGTCCAATAGCTGCATAACTTTGTGTTCAATCTGATTATTTTTCATGTTTAAGTGACTCAGGTGTTTTTCTCTATAGGTGAATCTGTCAAATAAATCCAGTGATAGAGGAAGAGCAGATTTATTAATATCTATGCAACTGAGCTTCACCATCCGGATGGAAACTGAAACCTTCCAGATGCTGAAATTCTCGGTTCTGATCCTGAAGTTGGTTTTTACTTCTGTTAAAGGAAACTTGTTCTTCTCTACTGTCGCCACATGCTTGCTCAGTATGACGGGTCGCTGCAAACACAACTGACTGGGCCTCCTTAAATCATTTTTAGCATTTTATATTCATGACTAGCACATATATTTACTATACATTATTTGTATTCCACCTTCTTTTATTTCTCATTTTATTTATTTTTAATCAATTTTTAAATTAAGTTGTTTTCTTTTTTCTGTAATTATTTATTGTCTTATGCAATTTAATGTTGACCAGTTATTATAAATAAATAAAGGTTGTGGGTTTGAATCCCAGCCTGGAGTTGTGGATGTGTCTGTTCTCTCCAGGTACTCTGGAGGTCAATAGTTTATCTGACTTGTGTATAAAAGTCTAAACAGTTTGTGTCCAGAATGTGTTTAATCTGCAGATGTCATCCTCCACCCAGCAAGGTGATTATTGTTCAATTTAGAAGGTGAATTAAGGTTTGAACAAAAGAGAACTTTGAAAATCAAGGCCTTGCAGAAACCTGGTAATCGGTGCCGGTCAGTAAAGGTCAATCGGTACATCGTCAGCTGATACTCACCAGGTGAGCCTGGATTCGCTGCAATCTGCAAAGAGGCTTCAGCCTGAAAGATAATTAATGAAAACCAAGCTGAGCATGAATCATATTTAATGTTTTATTTTATTACGCCGCCAGGGGGCGACTACAAGCCTGTCTGTCCTTGACCCTGGTCCTGAAATAAACTGGTTAACTTTATTACCTGTTACACTCAGTGATCAGGTAATACATGCAGAACATTATGACCTCTAATTATCTTCCTGCATTGAGGCTCGTGTTGAAATCAGTGGACAGTATGTTAGCTTTGGTGTTAAAAATGAAGCTATTAGAAGAGAGAAGATTTGAGGCGGTTAAATCAGGCACTTTGGGGGAAACTGCTTGATTTAATAACATTTTCACTGGTTGTTGGCTCCGCGGTGAGGCTAACAGACATGTTCAACTTTTAAAACAAGTTTCTCTGTTGTTACAAGCAAAAATGTCTCGACTAACGGCGACAGCAACTCCACTTCCTGCAAAGCTACACCAGCTTCCGGTGACAACACATACCTGAAGGCAGAAGTCAGAACCGTTAGTGTCATAATTACTGATATTATAATTTAGATGATCTGATCAGCTCTGGGTAGCCAGAAGCTGCCCCTGCGCAGAGCTTCCGGTTCCTCTGTTTACTTCCTGTTAGAGCGAAAAAACTGCCGCTGATTGGCGGGCGATCACTACTGCGACACTGCCACCTGCTGGTCAGCGGAAAGAATGCAGCTGGCTTCAGAAAGTGGTGATGAAAGAGAACCAGTGAGGTTCAAACTTCACTATTCGTGGTACATAAAATATTTACTGTATTAAAACTGGAGCCATTTCCATGCACAGTGGTCACTGCAGCGGGCATGTATCTAAAAGTCATTTTCTTGTGTTTCTTGTGGATTTTTATGTTAGAAATACAACAGGAGACCACTGAAGTGGACACATCATGCAACACAATGTTTTGTTCATCTAATTTAGCAGACAGACGAAAAAGCATGCAGACCACCCAGACCCTCCTGTATATGGTGACATCAAGTAACCTAAAGATCAGTGATATTGATGCATTTGACAAATACAATCTTTGTATTTGGAGAAAATTATACTTAGAGTCACTTAGGGAAAAATCCAAGATTTTTATTACATATTTTTATTACATTTTTTATTACATTTTTGACCCCCAAGGGAAATTAAATGTTGAGTAAAAAGTTTAAAAAGTATTTGGTGAAACAGCGACTCAAGTACAGAGTAACTGATTAACACATTCATCATTTAATAATTCAAAATTATGTAATTAAATGGACAAAAATGGAAAGTTTTCTGGAAATGTTACTATTTTAAAGACTAAACTGATAAATAAAATGAGGCAACCAAACATTTTTAAAAGCAACTTACTTCATCTAAACCTTTAGAGTAGGTAATGTGTATAAATGTTAAGCAGGGTAAATATCATTAGAAAACTGAAACTTTTTTATAAACAGGACGTCTCAAAAACCTGCAGGGCTTTTCTGTGTTTGGTGATTTAAAATTAAGCTGAAGTTTCTCACTGAATAAAGTGGAAGAGGATCCAGAAATGTTCTTTAAGTAAGAGAAATTATACTTTATAATAACATGACTCAAGTAAAGTAAAAAGTACAGCAGAGTAAAACTCCCAAAAGGAATTGTTTTCAATTTCTCCAGTAAATGCAACTGGGGCAAAAGATATTTGTGGAGAAAAATATGAAACCACCTTGTGTCATTTGAACACTTTATGAAGTGATTCCACTATTGAACCTTTACTCACTGAAATCTGCTCAGCCTTCGTTAACGTTCCCAGAATCAGCCGTTAACCTGAGTCACAAAGACTTGAACTTTGCCACTTAAAGCATGACTGCAACGGCATTTCACCAGAAAATGTTTGGGATTGATGTGTTTCTGATAACAACATGGAAACGAGCCAAAAGAAACGGTTTGTCTAACATGATGGATGGTGAGACGTGTTGATAGAAACAGGCCGACGTCAAGTTAAGGGTTGCATTATTCTGCAGCATTACTGCAGAATAAAGGAACAGGTCCAGGTCTAGATCCTGGATCCCGGTCCGGGTCCGGGGTCTGGGCTCCAGGTCCGGGGTCTGGGCTCCAGGTCCGGGGTCTGGGCTCCAGGTCCGGGGTCTGGGCTCCAGGTCCGGGGTCTGGGCTCCAGGTCCGGGGTCTGGGCTCCAGGTCCGGGTTCCGGGGTCCGGTTCTCTAAACTGCCCTGAACAAGGAGTGGCTGCACCAAAAACAATGTGATTCTGTATTTACAAGATTTTTAGAGCAACAAAGTCCAAATATTTCAGGTTTTTAAATTTGACATCTTTGAACATGCAGGAGCTTCGGTGGGTTTATGGATCAGGATGCATTTAAAAGAAATATGAAAGTTATGATGATGAACATGGAGTTGATGTTTTGTTTTGTATTTTTGTGTATTTGACATATGTTTGTAACAATGTTCTGACATCAGAAGCTAATTTTATTTTTATGTAAATAGGAAGTAAATATTATGTTTGTAACTTTTTCTGATTCATGTTATTGAGTGAATAAAATTAAATGAAAGTTTAAAGCAGTTTTCCTGATGCAGTGAATGAGGAGCTGCTGACTTTAAGCTGAACCCGTGAACAAATCTCCTTCCTGTCGTCGATTCACAGATTGTGAAGGTTATCAAAACAAGCTACTGCAGCAGGAACAGGGTGTGACTCTGGACTAACAGGACTTCAGATAAATGCAGACAGGCTGTGGTTTGTGTTTTCACATTTATTATTCACTGCAGTCATTTTATTCCACTCAGAAAGCAACGAGCATCAGGACTAACATCATATTCTCCACATGATAAAAACTGACACAAGTTTTGACGTTTTCTGAACGATTATTTGTGTTTACTGGGTTTAATTGTTAATTTACTGTTGAATTAAAAACAACTGAGATTAAATGAGAAGGAGTCAGAGAACTGCTGGTTGTTCATTCAGTCGGAGTCGCTGCTGCTGCTGCTGCTGCTGCTGCAGGAGCTGCTGGACGCCTGAAAAAACACAAAATAAGTTCAGGAACCAAGTTACTCATCTTTAAAAGTTCAGGTCTGTTCTATTCAAAGCTAGATCTAAAACATTTCACTGAACATTTCGTGACATTTTGGTCTTAACTTTCTGGAAACCTGTAAGTTGAGATGATTTCTAAAGTGAGCAGCAGGAGGATGGACTCACCCCGTGGCTGTCCTTCCCTTTCTTGTGGCACTGGCCGTGTTTGTGGCCTTGCTTGTGCTTGTGCTTAAGCTTGTCCTTGTTCTTGTCCTTGTGCTTGTGCTTCTTCTTGTCTTTGTGTCCATGTCCATGGCACTGTCCGGGTCCGTGTCCGTGTCCGTGTCCGGGTCCGTGTCCATGTCCGGGTCCGTGTCCATGTCCGGGTCCGTGTCCGGCTCCGTGTGGATGTCCGGCGTGTCCTGGATGTCCAGGTGCAGCAGGGCAGTTTGACATTGGTGGAGGAAATGCAGGGTTACCTCCTGGATACTGGTTCCCTAAACACAAAGGAAGCCCAGAGTTAGTCAATGAAAGCTGCAAACTGAAATGATTTTGATCAGAGGGGCGATGTACCTTGGTTCATTCTCAGAAATCCTCTGAAAGCTCTGCAGAGTCAGATGTTCATTCCTGGTTCCAGAGGATCTGATTCAGCTCAACCTGCAGCCTCTTTTATGCTCTGCTGCACCTTTAACCTGAGGAAGTCCTCATCAAACTATCGGTGTGGAGCTTTACTGCCTGCATGACCCACATTAACCACAGTGTAATGATTTACTGTAACTGTCTCTGAGGTGGACGCTGACGCTCCTCTATTCTGTGTCCATGTCATCGGCCTTCCCAGCCTGCAGATATGAACCGATGACTGAGCCGCTGCCACCAGCAGCAGCTAAAAGATGTTGGGCAGACATTAGCATCTGAGAATGTGTTGATTATTAGTTGATGAATCTTGGATTTTGAGCCAATCCTGTATGAACCTCTGCATGTGACTGAACCGTCAAACCTGGAGTCATTTGGCCTGGGGTTGAGTTTTATCAGCCGTGAGATTCCTCACAGCAGTTTTCCTGGGAAAAGGTGAAAAACCTGAGAAACATGTGATTGAGTAAACATTTAATAAAACCTTAGTGGGAGTGTTAGTATGCATTTAAAACTTAGTATGCATTTAAGTATAATTTTAACCCACTGTGCATTAAAGAAGAAAAAAAATCCATTTATAAATCTATAAAATCTCAAAATTTACATGAAATTCCATCCATGTGAATCTGCAGACTCAGCAGTCAACGCCCTCAGTTAATGTTTAGTCCAACAGTTTTATATTTCCAACCGAAAACAAGCAAAACGTTGATCCACCCGGTTCTGATGCAGATAAAAGATCTTTGATTAGGACGTTTTTCAATGCGTCTGTGCAACAGCTGCTCCCAATAAAGACATGAAGGTGGTAAAAGCTTTAGTCAAGTGATCACAGAGGTGAGCAGTAGGGTGTGTTGGTGTTTGGTGAACAAAGGTCACAGTTCAACCCTCCATAGAAACCAAAACACAATAAAAAAAACATCAAACCTTCAGATCAGGCAAACAGAGAAATCAGAGAAAGGAGGGAATATTTCAGGAATCGCTGCTTTGGGTCATGAACTATAGTGCAGTTGGTGAGGAAGAAGCAAAGGCAGCACAGCTGAGCAGGAGGCAAGAAACCAGCAGCAACTGGAAGAACTGAAAACACAAATGGACCCGAACAAACGGCAGAACAGAGGAAACAAGACACAAGATGCTGAACAGCAGAAAAACATTTAACTAGCCGCCGTTTAACAGAGAATAGAGTCAAAGAACATGACACTGAAAGTCATCGTTTGTTTCAATTTCATGTACTGTATTTGAAATCAAGTCAGTACAAAGCAGCAGCAGCAACATCTCATCAGTAAAATCAAAACAGTTTGCATTCCCAGAACCTCACATTTTATTATTATTTATTCATTGAGTTCAGTAAAGCCTTTAACTGCTGAGTGTAACTGATCACTGCAGGCTGGTGGAGCTGAAGATGTTTGAAACGTCTCCATCTAATCAGAGTCGCTGCTGCTGCAGGAGCTGCTGGACGACTGACAGGAAACAGAAACATGATTAATGTTCAGTCTGACAGTGGAAATAATATGCAGCAGAAAACATGGAGAAGATCAAGAAGTGGAGGTCAGGCTCTCACCCCGTGGCAGCTCCGCCCTTTCTTGTGGCATTTCTTGTGTTGGTGACCCCCTGACACCTCCGTCTCCGCTTGTCCTTCCCACACCCACCATGTCCATGACCATGTCCATGACCATGACCATGTCCATGACCATGTCCATGGTCCTTCCCATCACATCCACCATGTCCATGACCATGTCCATGTCCATGTCCATGGTCCTTCCCATCACATCCACCATGTCCATGTCCTATGAGAACATATAAAAGACAATTAAAAGCTAGTTTTTGGTTGATAGTAAAGCCACAAATCTGGTTCTGAGAATTTGGTTCTTGGTTCAAAGTTGGAGATGAATATTTCAGATTTACCTTGTCCGTGTCGATCCATCTCACAGCTTCAGCCTCTGGCCGTTTCTCTGCAGAAAACCTGTTTAAAAGAAGCAGATCATCAGGCTTCAG